AAGTACCTTGGGGTGACACTAACCAAGCAAGTGAAAGACCTATTTGAGAAAAACTTCAAGTCTCTGAAGAAAGAAATTGAAGAAGATCTCAGAAGATGGAAAGATCTCCCGTGCTCATGGATTGGTAGGATTAACATTGTGAAAATGGCCATCCTGCCAAAAGCAATCTACAGATTCAATGCAATTCCCATCAAAATACCAACTCAATTCTTTACAGACCTTGAAAAAAAAGATTCTCAGCTTCATATGGAGAAACAAAAAACCCAGAATCTCCAAAACAATCCTGTACAACAACAGATCATCTGGAGGTAGCTCCATCCCCGATCTCAAGTTGTACTACAGAGCAATAGTAATAAAAACTGCATGGTATTGGCATAAAAACAGAAAGGAGGATCAATGGAACCACATAGAAGACCCAGAAATAAACCCACACACCTATGAATACTCGATTTTTGACAAAGAATCCAAAACCATTCAATGGAAAAAAGACAGCATCTTCAACAAATGGTGCTGGTCTGACTGGATGTCCACATGCAGAAAAATGAAAATAGATCTATATTTATCACCCTGCACAAAACTAAAGTCCAAGTGGATCAAAGACCTCAACATAAAACCAGATACTCTAAATCTGTTAGAAGAAAAAGTGGGGAAGAGCCTAGAACTCATTGGCACAGGAGACAACTTCCTGAACAGAACACCAACAGCACAGGCTCTAAGAGCAACAATCAATAAATGGGACCTCATGAAACTGAAAAGCTTCTGTAAAGCAAAGGACACTGTCATCAAAACAAAACGACTGCCTACAGATTGGGAAAGAATCTTCACTAACCCTTTATCTGACAGAGGACTAATATCCAGTATATACAAAGAACTAAAGAAGCTGAAAAGCAGCAAACCAGGTAATTCAATTAAAAAATGGGAAACAGAGCTAAACAGAGAATTCTCAACAGAGGAATATCGAATGGTAGAGAAACACTTAAAGAAATGTTCATCCTCATTAGCCATCAGGGAAATGCAAATCAAAACGACCCTGAGATATCACCTTACACCCATCAGAATGGCCAAGATGAAAAACTCAAGGGACAACACATGCTGGAGAGGTTGTGGAGAAAGGGGAACCCTCCTCCACTGCTGGTGGGAATGTAAACTGGTACAACCACTCTGGAAATCTATCTGGCGCTTTCTAAGACAATTAGGAATAGTGCTTCCTCAAGACCCAGCTATACCACTGCTAGGTATATACCCAAAGTTTGCTCAAGTACACAAAAGGGATATTTGCTCAACCATGTTTATAGCAGCTTTATTTGTAATAGCCGGAATCTGGAAACAACCCAGATGTCCATCAGCGGAGGAATGGGTACAGAAATTGTGGTATTTTTACACAATGGAATACTACTCAGCAATCAAAAAGGAGGAAATCATGAAATTTGCAGGCAAATGGTGGGATCTAGAAAAGATCATCCTGAGTGAAATATCCCAGAAGGAGAAAGACAAACACGGTATATACTCACTTATATAGACCTATAAGATATGATAAACATAATGAAATCTATACACCTAAAAAAGATAATCAAGAGAGCAGACATGGGGTAAGATTATCAATCCTCGTTTTGAAAGACAGATGGGATGCACATTGAACATTGACAGGAGTCTACTGAGCGCATTTGAAAAACTCTAACTAGCAGTGTTTTCAAAGCAAAGACTCATGACTAAACCTTTGGCAGAGTACAGGGAATCATAAGAAAGAAGGGGAGTTAGTCTGATGAGGAAAGGATAGGAGCTCCACAAGGACCAAATATATCTGGGCACAGGGTCTTTTCTGAGACTGACATGCAACCAAGGACCATGTATGAATGTAACCTAGAACCTCTGCTCAGATGTAGCCTGTGGTAGCTCAGTAACCAATTGGTTTCCCATAGTGAGGGGAACAAGGACTATTTCTAACAGGAACTCAATGACTGGCTCTTTGGCCTCCCCACCGCCCAAGGGAGGAGCAGTCCTGTTAGGCCACAGAGGACAGCTTTGCAGCCAGTCCTGAAGATACCTGATAAAACAGGATCAGATGAATGGGGAGGAGGTCCCCCCCTATCAGTGGACTTGGCAAGGGGCACGGTGGAGATGAGGGAGGGAGGGAGGGATTGGGAGGGAATGAGGGATCGGGACACGGCTGGGATACAGAGTTAATAAAATGTAACTGATAAGAAAAAAATAAAATTAAAAAAATAAAAAATAAAAAAAATTAAAAAAAAGAATTTATTCATTGTATCTTTAAGGACCTGTATCATATTTATAAAAGCTATTCTGAAGCCATTGTGTCACAACTATGTCTCATTTCTCAGGGCCTACTATGGTAGAATTGCTTGGCTCTGGTGGTGACATAGTTCCTGCCTGTTATTAATTGTGTTTTTACACTGGTATCTAGGCATCTGGGTTTGAAATGATTGTAATTTTAGGTGTTGATATCTGGTCTAGTCTTCTCTGAGTAAGTGTTTTGGTTTTGTTTGTTTGTTTTACCTGTTGCCCTTTCTGGGTCTTAGGGACAGTGTTCTTTGGGGATCCTGATAGGTGTGGCTGTTGGGGGGAGGTCCAGGTAGAATGTGTTTCTAGGTATTGAGGGCTGACACTTAGGAATGGAAAGAGGCTACAGTCGGAGACGAGACTGCTGAGGAAGTCCACACAAGGAAGGAAAGCAAACTCCTCCACCAGCATCTGCCTAGGAAATAGGGCAGAGAATGAGGGAGAGGTCACAGCAGCTAGTCTGCTGCAGAGCTGGGGCTGAGACTGGGGGATTGGTTTTGAGGAGAGCAGAGTTAGTGAAGATGGGAAGCTCATCAATCTGCTTCTCTTGCAGGTTTGGCTGGTGAGTTCCCAGAGAATATAGGCTAGAGTTTGGGGCTGGGATATCAGAGAGATCACCTGGGATGAGCTGAAGGAAGAAAAATTGGAGGGTAAGAACTGTGATTCTGCTGGAGATGGTGGTGGGAAGGGAAGAGAGCCTTTATCAGGTGATCCGCTACAGAGATGGAGGTGAGACTAGAGCATTGGATTTGGGGCAGAAAAGGGAGAGGTAAAGATCTGCAGTTAGCCGACCTGAGTCTCTCTTTATTTAAAATCTCTAGCTCACATTTTCCAACAATCAGAGAAAGTTGAGCCTAGCACCTAAGAGATCACCAATAGCTAGAATGATGGTCCACCACATTTTACCTGGCATGATTTATGTCTTCTATCATGGAACTTAAATGACATTTCTTTTCTCTTTCAAAAGCATCCTAATTTGAGCAATAAACTACCTACTTTCCATGTACATATAACCAATTAAAATGCTATTTGTATCACTGGTGAATAATCAAGGTAACAACAGTGAAAATCCAGCCATCATGCTGAACTCTGTGGTCTGAGTTCACCATTTTCAATATTCACAGAAATTCTGTTTGGTTTCAAGAAAACTAGAACAGATAGATCATCTTGGGTTTCTGTTTTTCTTGAGCATCTCTTTTCTGTGTTCCTCTCTGAGTGTCAGTTATAAGAACAGGGAGTCTTAGTAGCAGACTACCAAGCCTACTCCTAATACCAAACAAAAGGGACTTCATATGAAGTATCTTTCAGACTTTGGCAAGATTAGGACCCAACCTACATCCAACTAGTAATGATGCAACCAAAAGAAAACGCTCAGCCAACTGTTGTGTCAGAAATGTCAGTGTTCATCTCCCACTGCTCATTATCCAAAGTGGACCTGGAAAACAGACCTATCACCACATCCTCCAAAATTCTATTCCCTGTCTGCATGCTGAGCTTGATGGAGGGCTATTGTTAGTAAGCCTAGGTGGTGTGCAGAACCTGGAGAGGAATGTAGTTCTTACTCTCATCAGCTCTGTCACAAGGAAAGTACATTCCAGCTTTGGAGAGATGGAGAATGAACAAATCTTCAACCTTCAGGTCTTCTAAGAACTAGGAAAGATTGGTGGGGGATCCATGAGAAAGAAAGTACCAGTAAGGACTTGTGTGGTGGCTCCAGAAATTCTACCCAGGAAGCGTTTAGGATGCGGTCTCAGCGGATGGGGCTGGAGGGCTTGTCCTGCAGTGGTATGTGTAGCATCCTCTGCTGCTTGCTTCTGGGGTGCGCATGATTGCCTACACAAGTCTGCCACACACAAGCAAGGCCAGCCTGGGCCCACAGCCAGACAGAATGGACATGGCTGTCGTTCCTACCACACAGCTGGGGCAGTGGTGCATCTGAGTGGCAAAGCCCCTGATATAAGAGCTTAGCATACAGTGCTCTGCCACAGACAGCTGACAGCTTTCCAGAAAGAGCTCTAGGAAAGACAGAAAAAGAAAAATAAATGCTCATTAAAATGAAGCTTCACTATAATTCCTGAGGGGGGAAATGTAGATTGTGTTCCAAACACTTAAAGATCTGAACTTTTCTTGCCACCTGTCTCTCCCCTTTGCCAGCTGCTTTGTCAGGGTTTCTGTTGCTATGATAAATACTGTGACCAAAGCAACATGGGGAGGAAAGGGTCTATTCGGCTTATGAGGCTACATCAGCATCATTGAAGGAAATCAGGAGATCAACTCAGACAGAGCCAAAGCCTGAAGGAGGAAGCTGATGCAGAGGCCATGGAAAGGTGCTGCTTATTGGCTTGCTTCCCATGGCTTGCTCAGCCTGCTGTTAGAAACCAAGACCACCAGCCCAGGGATGGCACCACCCATAATGGGCTGGGCCCTCCCCCATCAATCACTAATTACAAAAATGTTCTATACTCTTGCCTACAGCTCAATCCTACGGAGGCATTTTTCTCAGTTGAGGTTCCCTCCTCTCAGTGACTATAGCTTGTGTCAAGTTGACCTAAAACTAGCCAGCACATTCTGTTTCTTCCTCTCTCCACCATGTCCAAGGCATCTTTTGGGCAACAGTCCTGCTTATTTCTAAGATAGTTTATTCACTGCCTCCGATCTACCTAATAAAACCACAAATAAAAAAAATCTCATTGCCAAGGTATTTCCATTATTCTTTTTTAATCAAGCAAGTCAAACATGACAGAAGAGAATAGTGTATTTCAGAGGTGGTTGTGGTCCTGGGGAGGAGACAGAGCCTTGTGCTGCTATGTATAGATTTTGCAGATCTGTTGGCTCCTCAGCTCATAGCCTTCAGCTCCCTGGCTTCCCAGCAGCTCCTTCTCCTCCCCTGGATCTAGCGCCCTCAGGGACGGGAAGTGAGCGGGAGATGTGATGAACTCGTAGTGCCGGTCCAGGGAGCGCAGGTAGATGAGCATGTGCAGGGCATAGGCCAGCACCAGCAGCAGGATCAGGGACATGGCCAGGCCAATCAAAACAGCAGGCGAGAGGAAAGAGCCACAGTCTCGGGCCTGTGCAAACTGGGCCCCCTTGATGGAGAAGCCTTGGATCTGTCCAGAGAAAGAAAAGAGCAGACGTGACCTTGGTCTCCCCTCTAAGAGTCAATTCTCATTGTGCTGGTGCTTCTGGGCCCCAATTAACCTTATTTTACATTCTGTGGTTCGTTTTAATGGCCAACTTTCCATAATCTGGAACCATATAGGAAGAGAGTGTCAGCAATGGAATGTCTATATCAGATTCCCTGGGGGTTAGGGAATCTGATATAGGGGTGTGTCAGAGAGGGGTGGTAATCATCTTGATTATGCAAACCGATGTGTTAAGATCCAGCCCACTGTGGGCAGCACCATTCCCTGGGTTTAGGTCCTAGACTGTATACACACAGACTAAGAGAGCTGAGTACCAGGCATGCATGCAGTTACGTTCTTGACTGTGGACGTGGTTGGCTGCTTCAGGCTTGTGCAGCCTTGACTTCCTACAATGAGAGGCTGGAAGCTGGAATGTGAGCCAAATAAAGTATTTCTCCCCTAAAGTGGCAAATGTGACAAACACAAACCAATACACACACTAAAGGCTTTGTCAGTACCAGATATTTTTTTTTTCTGTTTGTTTGTTTTTGAGACAGGGTTTCTCTGTGTAGCCTTGGCTGTCCTTGACTCAATTTGTAGACCAGGCTGGCCTCAAACTCACAGCAATCTGTCTGCCTCTGCTTCCCGCCCCCTGCCCCCCGTACTGGGATTACAGGCCTGTGCCACCATACCTGACTGTACTAGATACTTAGCCTTCATAACAGCCTATGAGCAAATGACTATTTTATTGTAGCTTAAAACAGAGCCTGGGGCTCAGGAAAGTTCAGTCTCTCATGTGGAATCACACAGCAGGAAGTGTGTGATGATGAAACTTACACCTGGGAAACCTGGATTCATGCTCAGACTCAGTTTGCGACTATAGAGGGTCTGGTATCCTCTATCACTTCTGCTGTCACTACCACAGAAGGCTGTGTGTGGCCATATGCAAATACTGTGCCATTTTATAGAAGGGACTTGAGAATTCATGGATTTGGTACCCATGGAAGGAATTGGGGTCTAGGACTAATCTCTGTGCCTACTAGGAGACAAATGTCTATTCTAAGGAAAGAACAGCAGGCCTGCAGTGTGAAACGTGGTTGTCTGGGGACACTCCTCTCCCCTGTTTACATTCTAGGTGCCTCCATAAGCCACATTTTCTATGAGGAAGCTGATTTCCTGCACACACGCATTGTACAACCCAGGAGAGGAATGTGCTCCTCACAGCAAATTCTCTGGAGTCTTAGTGGCCCTGTGACACATCCTGGAGTGCTTCTCCTGTATGCTGCCACAGCTTCGAAGCAGGCCTCATCCAACCAGCAGAGTGGCTAATCCTGTGGGTTTGTGAGCCAGTCCTCAGGAACGTCTAATCCTCTCTTCCTTTCCTTCCTTCGAAATCCCCACCCCGGTCCCTGACCATGTGTTTTCTTTTGTTATTTTTGTCACAAAATGTGTGTAACATAAAATGTGTTGTCTTAACCACTAATGTGTGCTGGGATGGGTGGTACTGTTTTCCATGCCTGAAATGGGCCTGAGTGTTTCACACATATGAAGCCAAGTACTTTCTACATTGACAAAGATAAGCAATGTAGCTGGCGTGGTGGTGCTGTAATCCCAGCACTCTGGGAGGTGGAAGCAGGTGGATGTCTGTGAGTTGAGGCCAGCCTGGTCTACAAAGAAGTCCAGGATAGCTAAGGCTACACAGAGAAACCCTGTCTTGGGGGGAAAAAGATAAGCAAGCAATGTAGTGACAAGCTTAGTAACTTAGCCGTGTAGGAGAGAGTGACTTCAAAATCAGATTTGCTTGACTCCAAATGTATGCTCTTCCCTTCCTTCCCTTTGGCCTCTCAACACTATTCCTCCCGAAGCTGAGATAAATATGCATGACTATGTACCCTTGTAAATATAGAAAAATACACAAAGCCGTATCTGCAGCTTCAGGGACTAAGCCCTGGCCACAGATAAACGAGATAGGGGGACTGCTTAGAATGTCTCTCAGCCTGAGGGGATGCTGGGATGCTGGGGTGCAAAGGCGCCTGTCACGTTCCCAAGCCTTTCTCCCAGGGTTTTCAGATCTCTGGGCTATTTTTGACTGGCTGATGCTTCCATTCCCAGGCTAACTGTCAACACTGTCTTTCTCACTGCAGATGTCCTTCTTATCTGCCCTGCTAAGACCACTGCTTCTCTCCCAGAAGGGGAGAGGGTGATAGTCCCACAGCGCCTGTGCGCCCAGGAAGTGTCAGTCGCCAGGCTTCAGCCACAGCTGCACTCACTTTAGATAAGTACCCGGTGAGCGGGTAAACAGGAAAGCAAGCGTGAGCCCTGGAGGAGGCAGGCAGGAGAAATCCTCCACCCTGCTCCGCCTACCTCAGTAGCCCCAGAATAAACCCATGCTATCTTAAAGGCATGGAGGCCCTTCCTTAAACATCTTGTTTCGGCTGACTTCAACAAACACTGAGTGTCTTTGGCACCGAGTGTGCATACGTGTCCAGCGAAGGTTTTAGTTTGTTACCTGGAAATCGATAAACGTGACCTCCCACAGGCTCGTCGCCTCGTCTGAGCTGCTAAGCAGCAGGAGGGCATCCTTCCTCCGCAGGCTGCTGACCCGTTGGCAGCGGTAGGAGTAACTCCACAGAGCATAGACACCGGTTGCGTTAAAAGTTGCTTGCACCGAATTGTTGAAGATAATCTCCACTCGGTGTAAACTAAACCAACTCTGGCTGGACAGCTTGTTGTGATTGCTGAGGGTGAGCCTGAGAAAGGACAGCAATTGGGGTTAGCCCGCGCTCTCCTGCTGTCGCAGAGCGTCTTCTGTGAACGGTACGACGGCGCCCTCTTTTGTTAGGCTGTGGAGGCAGGAGGCTTCGCTTTAGCGCCAAGCGAAAGCTCCTCCGGGTTGGTAAGAAGGCCAGGAAAAGAGCAATACAAAAATACTACGGGGGATGGAGGTGGGCTTTTATTTTCTTTTCTGTGAATTAAATCGTATGCTTATTATTGCAACAAATTTTATTTAAAGACTTGGATTATATTAACATAGAATTAAATGTCATAAAATAATAGTAATAGCTTTCTCATATGCCAGCCACTGGTTACTCTTGTGTATCTGCTTAAGCTCACTAAGCACTATGAGATAAACAATATTGTTATCTTAGTGTAATCATAGTGTCACATTGAGAAGCTGAGCCCAGCGGGACAAAATACCTTGCAGTTTCTCTCAGAATGTTGTGTTTGAGCTGCCTGTCAGATTCAGCCTGAGAACAGCTCCCTCCCTGCTTTAGAGTGGAACATTCTCCAATCCTCCGATCCTCAAATAGCTCATGATAATTTTATTAAAAAACTGAGCTATTACATAGGGCAAAGTCAAGAATGGTGGGATTAAAACATCAGTAGTAATATGGAAGGATTATCGGTTATTTTTATTTTCTTATTCTTATAGCCCAGTGTTTCTCATTTTTCTGTTTTCATGAGTTCTCTTTGTTTTATTTTGTGCTCCTGTAGAAGCAGACACTGAGCCAAAGATGTGAATGTTAGATTCAGTCATTTGGGTATATAGAATGGATAGAAGGGCAATGATCGTGGACAGAAGGCAGCCAACGGGAACAATGCTAAGAGTGAGTATGTTTTCACAGTGAGCAAGGACCTAATGGGGAATTCTGGGAGCCAAGCACAAACAGATGCTCCTCAATCTCATTCAAGGTAGAGGAGTCTAGGATGCTGACATTCTTCCATGAGAAGGATGGAAGGCAGCCAGCTCCATCTTAGTGTTATGGGTTTGAAATCATTGGAGGATTCACCACGACCATAAATAACTTTTAATAAGAAAAGCTTTTTCATTTAAACATTGGCATCCAAGGTGGGGCCAGGACTGCACCTGAGAGGGATTCCAAGATGCAACCCCTAGCCTGTTAGACCAAGGCTTTTAACGACAAACCCCAGAAGACTGCAGTGTTCCCTCTGTGTAGGCAGGGCCCAGTTTTAACATGTATGTTTGGCAGTTACCCTTGTCACTGAGCAGAGTGAGCAGGTTTGATTGCAACAGCAGACATAGCAGATAGTCTTGTGACCTACTGTCTTGCTAGAAGGGTCAGTTTAAGAATAGTCTTCAGTGTCTGGGGAAAGGGCAAGTGGAGCAGTAGGGCGTTGCAGCCTGTACAAGTTAAATTGGGGTTTACATGTTGGAAGTATTGTTTGCTCTTTGGTCTCTCAAGCAAATCTAACTTTAACCCTAACTTTATCACAGTTAGGGTTTCTATTGCTGTGATGAAAACACCATGATCTAAATCAACTTGGAGAGGTAATGTCCCAGGTGACCATGCATCACTGAGGGAAGTCGAGGCAGGAACTCAAACAAGATGGGAACCTGGTGACTGGAGCTGATGTGAAGGCCGTGGAGGAATGCTCCTTACTGGCTTGCTCTCATAGTTTACCCAGCTTGGTTTCTTATAGAACCCAGGACCACCCACAACGGCTGGGTCCTCCTGAATCAGTCACTAAGGAAATGTCCAGTAACCTTGCCCACAGGGCCAGCCTTATGAAGGAGACATGTTCTCAGCTGTGGATCCCTCTGCTCAATGTCTAGGTTTGTGTCAAATCAACAAAAACCAACCAACACAGAGCCCTCCGTGGCCAGAAAAGCTTTCAGGGAGAGGGGGTGGGCATTGCCTGTCCCCTCAAATGGCAAAATCCGGGCAGACGGAGAGGGACTATGGACATGTTCACTACACGCTTTTATCCTAAGTGATGGTGATGGTGGTGGTAGTGGCGGTGATGATTTACAGGGGTATTTTCCAGTTGGGGAAGAGTGCTATTACAAAGTGAAACTGCTCCCCATTTCTAGATGAGCTGTGCACGTTTGTTTGGTCACCCTGTGGATTCCGTTTCCTCATGAAGATTCTTTGAAGAGCTGGGCATATAGCCTTGTAGTGGAGGTTACCTAGCAATACAAGGTCCCTGTTTGCTCACCAACAACCAGGAAAATGTTTCTCAGAAGGATGGGAGTTTGTATGTTCTAGATTATGCTCTGTGAAACACTAGCATCTTATGATGTGTAGGCTGGGGTCCGGGGGGAGAAAGCTATTCATGGTCAGGAATAGCTTAGGAAACACTGGATTGCTTAGTTTTAAAAAGCCAGCTTTACTTTAAAACTTATTCGGGAGGGGGGCGGGGTGTTTGAATAAATAAAGTTATGATGTGAATATCTGCAAGAGAGTCGGGGCATGTAGTCATTCTTAAACAAGTCTGAAAACAGAACCTTTTATTGAGGACTCAAAAATATTTTCACATGGCCAAAGAGTGGCACAGAGCAGCAGTCAGGAGAGAGTTCCTGTCTCCACCCACCCTGCTGGTTCTCTGAGTAAAGCTGAAGACATAAAGTGCTCATTTCCACTAAAAAGTCTGTCCTACAGGAAGGGAAGCATTAGTCTGTGTGTGTGCGTGTGCGTGTGTGTACATTGCCAGTGAGACCTAGAGGTCTACCTGTTCTCACCTTCCCAGGGCTGGGGCAGTAAACAACACCCCCACACCCAGATTTTTTAATGTGGATTGGGGATCACATTCAAGTTCCTCTGCCATCATCAGCTGCACCGTCTCCCAGGTACATGCACTGTACTATGGGGGGGCGGGGAGAATTATGCCCTCAAATTTCTTGATTACCAGGTGCTGAGAAAAGTATTGATATTTTTTTGTGGAAGAAAAAAAATTGAAACAGGATCTTACAACGTAGTGTTGATTGGTCTGGAATTTACTGTTTACTGGGCTGGACTCACGCTGACAGAAATCTGCCTGCCCCTACCTCCAGAGTGCTTGGAATTAGAGGGGTGTGCGACCCAACACAAGAAGACCATGTTTTGCCCTCAATGTTGTTGATTAGTGGCTGCCAAGATAAATCACTATCAGTAAATGCAGCTTTTTATCATAAGCAGAGGAGAACAGAGGCCTGTGTTGACTGTCTGCTGTCAGCAGAGATCTCTTCATCTACTCAGCTAGTGTGATTCTCGGAAAAAGCTACAGTGAATCACCTTGGAGCAGAGCCTGATGCCGACTGGGTTTTATTCAGCATTACTCTTGTTCCAGGGAAAGGACCACATTCTCAGGTTCATGTGCTCTTAAACCCCTCACGATGAGAGCAAAGAATACAGGTATTCCAGTAGTGGTTAAAAAAAGAATTCGATCATGACAGTGGTGGTGATGATTATGATGATAGTGATAAAAATATTCCTACAAAATTCTTATACTTACTGATTTTTCAGACTACTGAGATATGTATGGACCTTGCTTTATAGAAAGCACTCCCATCAGACATGGCCACTGAACTCTCAGTGTACTTGGACATGGAATTTAACATGTCACAGAATGACACTTACAGGGGAGTAAACAGATTAAATAGAGCATAGTATATGTTACAGGTTAAAACTATAATGCTACCAACCTTATGTCCTTGGGATTTTCAGCATCACCAAACTTTAAAGACAACCTGAGAGAACAGAAACAACATAGTTCATCAAAACAGGAATGGCTCAGACCGCAAGGCAGCTCAGCAGGGGGGACCTCTGCCTCCAAGCCCAACAACCTGCATGCTGAGATCCATGTCTGGAGCCTACATGCTGGAAGGAGAGAACCACCTCCCTCAAATGGTCCTGGTAAGCCAGCTTTCACACAGGCACCATGGTATGAACACACATGCACACCTGTACATGAGCTGGCAGACACACGCAGACACACACACCACATAAATAACTGTAATCAAGAACTTTATTATTAGGAATGACTGACTCCTCATGTGGAACTAAATGTGGTGCCTAAAACCAAATTTATAGAAGAGACCTAGAGTAGTTAGTTATACAGCCTTGGGCAGGCGATGTTTTCTTGAAAAAGTACAAAATCATGAGCCATAAAATATGATGCTAAACTGGATTTTTAGTACAATAAAACATTTTGCTCTTCAAATGACTCTTAAGAAAATAAAACATAAAAAAGTAAAACACACAAAGATGAAAAAGAAAAGAAATCAAAACAGAGCTGTTCCTGGTGGTGCATACCTCTGACTTCACACTCACAGAGCTAAGGGAGGGAGTCGCAAACCAAGGCTTGCAAGTCCGTGTATCCCTGTAACTCCAGCTCCAGGGGATCTGATGCCACATACATACACACACACACACACACACACAAAGAGAGAGAGATAAAATCTAACATAATAAAATTTAAAATATTCTCAGCATTACTGAGCATTAGGAAAACAAAATAAAAACACATTTACACATCATAACACAACAAACAGGATGATTAAAACGTCTAACATGTGGAAATCATGAGCTTTGATAGCCTATATTCATGCACACTTTTCTGAAGGTAAAACTAGCTTTCCTGGGCCAAAGACAGAGTAACTATTCACTCGGGAAGAATAGTATTAGTTCTCTTGACACACCCCATCCTCCTGGGTATCACGATGAGAGCCAGACATTATCCCTCCCTTACTGGGATCTGGGGTTTGCAGTGGAAGTCAGGAGTGCAAAGTTAACATGGAGAGTCATGGCTCTTTTCTCACCTCTGTTGCCTTAGTGTTGATCCCCGTGGGGAAGAGAAGAGAGGGAGGAGATGCGACGCTGCTACCCAGGAGGTAAGTGGAAGAATTTAATCAGCCTCTGGACAGAAGCAGCTGGCTTACCACAACAGATACAAATGGCTGCACCTTTAAGATTATGTCTCACAAGTGTCCCCAGCAGGCTGATGTGTCCCTTTGTCTCGTCAGCCCTTTGCTGTGCAGACACACAGCCCTAAGCTTCTTACTAACTCCAGAGCTTCTCCTTTAGCTCAAGGCCAGTGAAGTTTCTCAGAGAGCATTAACCACACAGCAGCTTTTGTAAGAGGATTTTCTCTACAGTTTCACATTGATGAAGACATGAAGCAAGTGGGTAATCCTGGGAAAGACAGAATGGTTCATTTTCACCTGGCTGGGTGCTGCTCACCCACCCAGAAAGTAGAGGAAAGAAGACAAGGAGTGCAGGGCCAGCCTCAATTAAAGAGCAAGTCTGAAGCCAACTTTGAACACAAGAGCCCCTGTCTCAAAAATTAGGAGCTCACATTTTTAAAAATTTGGAAGCAGGTGTGGTGTCGCACTCCTGTGGTAACTATCATTCGGGAGGCTGAGGAACAGTGCTGCAGTGAGTTTAAGGTGACACTGCATTAAACAGTACATTCTTAGCTAGCCTGACTAGAGTATGTGACCCAAAAGAACTTAAAACTTTTTAAAATTAAAATTTAGCGGCTTCGTAGACTGTTAGTGTGCTTATGTAATATGATTTGGCCTTTCTACTCCTATATGGAGAATTACAAAATTAAAACGCACTCTGCTTCAAAGATTCATACAAGAGTGTCATAACTAGCTGAAAAGTTATATAAAGGAGAGCAGCAAAGCTCTATCATCGACAGCTCAATGGATAATTAGGTTGTCATAGGTCCGTACAGTGGAATACTACTTGGCAATGAAAAAGAGGATTGCACTGAGCACAGAAGGTGGCCTAAGCCGTTAAGTGAAAGAAGACACACTAAAAAAGAGAACATACTGTATGGCTATATTTAAATAAAATTCTAGGAAATGCAAATTAATCTTTAATGACAGGAGCTAAACCAAGGTTACGTGGAGAGGAGGGAGTGGCCCAAGTGATGGAGTATAAAAAGAAACAAGTATATTTCAGACATGATGAAAATGTCTGTGGTCTTGGTTGTGGGAACAGTGTTATACGTGTCCATATAGATGACAGGGGAACACGTGATATATTTGAATATCTGCAGGTTATTCTTCTCCACTTGAGTTTCCACAAGGTTAGAAATATGAGAATGATGAGCCAAGTGGCTATAATGGGAAAAGATAAGAAATTTAAATGCACTAAGAATGTTGCAGCTATATCAATAAAATATCTAGAAGTCAGAATGCCTTAGTCTGCATTAAGAAACTAAAGAAATCAAAATCAAATAGCCTGGAGAATGAAAGATGCCATGCTGTGATTTCAACTAGCTTGACCTACTTCCAAGGAACAGAAACATCAGTGGCGGCACTGACCGCTAACGTAACACGCTTACGGGGAGGAGTTGTGAGGCTCACAAACATATCATATAACTAAGATTGACAAAGGAAATGTTTGTGTTTCCTAACAGGAAAAACGTAGACACCTTGGATGTGCCTGCGTGCAGGCGGTTTCAAAGAGTCTTTTCTAAGTAAAGCTTCAAAAGATCCCTGCCCTGGCGTTATTTTGACGATTTGTCAAATTATTAAAGAAAACATTTTAAAGAAACAAAACATGCCAGGCACAGTAGCACACACACTCTGGAAGAAGAGGCAGGTGGATCTCTGAGTTCAAAGCCACCCAAGTTTATAGAATGAGTTCAAGGAAAGCCAGAGCTCTGTAGAGAAACATTGTCTCAAAAAAGAAAAGAAAAGAAAAAGAAAGAAAGAGGCCGGGGGAATACATTTTATAAATTGAACTATTTTTGTTCATTCTTACAAAAATTTCTTCAGTTCTTCCAATAAAATACACTATCTTGGTCACTCACAACTTGCACTGCACCAATGAACTAAAACCTCAGAGCAAAGCCGCCTCAAGCCATCCATCACCTAGTGAGACAACTGACCAGCTCACAAAAGCTACTCACCAGGGCTTCTCTCCAGTGGGCGTGGTTCCTGTGGAAGCTCAAAGGCACACTGCTTTGAAGCAAAGAGCACCAGCATGCTTTCAGCAGTGATAACTCACTTGTTCAGTGAGGCTCTGCAGGTACTGGGTGCCATACAACTAACCAAACACAAAACGGATACAACCCAGAGCAAGAGCAGAAAAAAGAACCCACTCAGGGCCCCATTCTTTCACATGTAAAACATATTCCGAATTCTTCTGACTATAAATGTCCAACCTCAAAATGCACACCGAAGCTGGATCGTGTTCTATTTTTGGACTTTCACTATTTAAAAAGACTTCCATAACAAATCCATCCGCTAAACTTGCCTCTCCCTGAACATTTTGTTTCCAAAATCTAAAACATGGTCATGTTTTTCAGTCTGGCTTTTGACCTTACCTGGTTATATGTCTGCTTTGGTGTTTCGGCAACTTACGCTCTGGTTCTGTCAAGTGTTCTCTCACTGGCGGCTCACTGTTTTCCAGAGCTCACAGGACTCAGCCTCGGGAAGTCTTACCAGATGGAACTAAAAGCCCTCACTTTCTGGGGAGACACCCTGGCCGACACCCGGGCGTGGGTGGACCCAGGCTGCCTACCCACTGGTGTGAGCAGGACTGCAGAGTGGAGGGCTGCCCATCCCGGGCTCGCGCGTGGGTGTGTTTCTAGGGAGATGACTAGGAAGATAGAACACCAGTGCCCTAGATCTGATATATGCACTGGCAAGCCCAGAACTTCTGGCTGGAGAGAGGACTCATCGGTTAAGAGCACTTGATGCTCTTCCGAAGAACTGAGTTTACTCCCCGCACCCACATCCGGGGACTAACAAGAAGCTCTTCCTGCAGCTTCAGAGGATGGCCCCAGCAAGGCTTGTCACCTTCTGCAGGCACCTGAGCACAGATGTGCTCACACAGAGACACAGTCACATAAAATGAAAAGTAAAGGGATCTTAAGATTTATTTTAAAACAGAAAAAAAAAGGCGAAAAGTCGCAGGGCCCCCCAGGCAGCACCGGGCTGCCCTGCGCTTGGGGCTGGTTGTGAGGAGAAGGGGGCCCTGCTTTGGACTGTACGACAGCTCTTCTGGAACTCACGCTTGCACTTCCTCTCTGCTTTTCATAATCCTGAGAGAATGTCCCTTTTAAAGACACCAGAGCCCCAGTGGAACTCCACGAAGTTTCCTACCCTTGTTGACCTTGATTCCTCTGACTTGTCGGAGAGCCGCTGTGACGGCCACTAGATCTGGAGAGTGCACAACACTCCATTCTGTCAGCTGCAATGCAACGTTGCCTCCATAGCCGTCAGACATGTGACTAGTCCATGGGTCCTGAAGGCACACAGCTCTCTGGCAGAGCTGGACCTGCAAGACAGGTTTTAGCTTTTCTCCGGCATAGTTTCCACTGATGACTAATGTCTCCAAAGCCCAGTAAAAAGATGTGCTGCCTAATTCATCCCACAACCCCCCTAATGCCAGGATAAATGGAGCTAAGGCATGCCAGCCAGCCCTGGGCTAGCAAGCTTATCCTCCGGCAATCAGCCTTTTTCCATGCAGCTGACCACAAATAAAGAGCCCAGAAGGGAATTAATTAGAGCCTGGGAAAAAAGTCCTGAGCCCTCAGCAGTGTGGGATCTCTTCCATAGTCCTTTATGGTTGTGCTGTAACAAGAGAAAGAAATGTGGAAGGATTCTTAGTGGTTCCCTAAACCTTGTAATTAGTGCGATTTGTTAAGTCCCTGTTAGGGGACAGTCATTCTGAAGGGCGAGACATGGAGATGTGTAATATTCTTCTTACTAATCTATCAAAATAATCCATTTCCACCCATCGTCACGAACTTTAAAACAAGAAACAAAATTCAGGAATAAGCTAGCAATTCCAGCCAAACTGGAATTTATACTGGCATAAAGTATAAAAGGAATGCACACAGGAGAACATGCATAATATGTTATGGTTCATACAACAAATCCTAACCATCACAGGCCAGAGCAAGGGCAAAGCATCTTCTAAAAGTGCCCACTGTACCAACACATATTAAACAGGTGGTTGTAGAACACAAATGAAACATTTCAGATTTCCTTTTCCTGGATCAAAACAAACAACAGAAAAACAAAAGCGAACGAGCAAACACTTGGATGCCTGGAAAGCAGAGGAAGGCTGAAAGTGATCTGTTCTCAGTGGGGACATTTACTTAATCTGCTTGTCTCAGACCAAAACTAATCATTCTGTTCACCCTCAAACACCCAAAGATTCTCTGAAATTTGACCAAATGTCCTTTTACACAGCAAACTATGAGACAGGCCATGTTCTATAATTTGAGAATCTTGAACCATGACCAAACATACCACCTAAAGTCAAAGACTGGTCCTAAGAAAATAGGCTTTTCTGAGTCTCCCACTGAGACATGTGTGCCCTGCTAGCCTTATACCAGGGCGGGTGCCGCCTCCCACGCCCAGTAAAAAGACGTACTGCCAGGATAAATGTGCATTCTTTTCATGGTAAGACCAGGGTACTTAGACTCTTGACGTTTAGAGTTGAGACCAAGCCTGAAAACAGTTTAGCTTTACTCTCTCTCTTCTTTCTCCCCCCTCTTCCATCCTTTCTTTCTTCTTCCTCCAAACAGTACAGGCTCTTGCTGGTGTCTACTTCCCTACCAGAACTAGAGATAAGAACATGATACAGAAGACATCGTACACCTCCACTGCCTGATACAAAGAAAGCAAGCTAGAGCCTAGCCAGACACTTCCTGCTGGCTAGCTTTCAAAGTACAGAAGGATGTCCTCTGGACTGCTCAGGAAGTAAAGCTTTGCTTGGTCTAACCCAGCTGTGACCCTGTAACCAAAAGTCCAGCCCACGGGACAAGGTGTTCCTTCCTGTGCAATTTTGCAACAGCAAAAATGACTGTTGAAAAGGTAACTAGCTGCCCTTTGATTTGGGGTAGGGCGTGGGAGGCGGTACCCATGCCTTGTATAATAAGGCCAGCTAACAGTCCAGGACTGTGGATACCATAGGCCCACTGGGTAATTTAGTACTATTGTTTAACTAAATTGACATATTATCCAACTTCCTTCTAAGTATCTATGGACATACCCATAGACAAAACTTTTCTCTCCTTCCTTCCTTTCTTTTTTCCTCCATTTTTAGAACGAATTGGAAATTCTCATTTTGAAAACCCATAAAAGTAAAACTAGCCAAACACTCTTCAATGGAATTCATACCAAAAAATATTTGGACAATCAACGTTTGTTTGTTGAGTAAAAAAGAAAATGGTACAAAATTGGGTGGTTGGTTGGGGAGGTGAGTGGGGAGAAGGAGTGGATCTGGAAAGAGTTGGGGGTGAGAATGATCAAAATGAGTTGTACAAAATTCTCAAAAAGCTGATAATATTTTTAAGTTAATTTGTGACTTGCCCTTTAACTTACTTGATAAAGGCAAACAAAGCAGCTTGTTACAGTGAGTTATAAGGTATTTCTAAGGCCTCCTCAGCCAGGAAGACTGACTTACATGGCTCTGTCTTCACTGCAGTTGGAGTGGCCGGTGTCCACTGTTGTGTTTTGACCAAGTGCTTCATCTGTGAGATCCAGCCAGGTCTGATTCTTAAATTTAACTGTGATTCTTTTAGTCCAGAAGAGGACGCATGGAATTCCATCCCTGGAGAACTTAATAGGATTATGATGGCTGAATGCACTCCAGTGGGTTTTGCTCAGATTGTAGTTGAAAGTCTAATTAACCAAATAAAAGGAATTTAAAAGACAAATGTGTGTCCTTAGTATCAAAGTCTTTCTACAGATAAAAAAGTTAATTCATATCATGTAATGTGGATACATGTTATTATATATTTACTTAAAGTACAACAGAAAGAGTGGACCAATTATTCCAGTGTAAATGCAAACAAAAGAAAAAGTGGTCAAGAAAGAGCAGTGAGCTCCCAGTTATAAAAGATACACTTTCTGCTGTCCCTGTGGGAAAACCATAAAACTGAATACTGTGAGGAAAATATGAGAGGGCAAGTAAAATTAAGAATTGTATGTTTTTCTCAACCACCTAGAGTTCAAGTAAGATTATGTTAATAATTAATGTAACTATTGTGTATATATTTATCGTAGCTCTGAGAGCACTGAAAAGAAAGTATGTTATTAGACTAATGTCCCAACAGCCATACCTGTGTGACGGGTATCGTTGTGAAATTCTGGACTGGTTTCATCTCTCCATTATTCTTTTGACCTGTCAAATAAATAATGATGTGAGCACCAAGGCTCAATGCCATCATTTTGTTAACATAACTGAATGATGCTAATGAGCCAGTCACTGAAATGTATCCTGTTTGTGCCTATTTGGGCTTATCGTTTAAGATGTGCTAGTTTAAAAGATCTTTTCCAGGAGGAATTCTAGGTACAGACAACACAAGGAAGGGAAATGTTCCCCAGAAAAGGCCTTTCTTCATTCCTGCCCCCAGGACACCACAAGGGCAATTCCAAGTCTTACCATTCTGAATAACCACTTCTTTACTTGAAGCCGCTTGAGAACTGAAATTAGAAATAGAGTTTATTTGCAGAGCAAACATCTCTAGTGAGGCATCACAGAAAGTTTTGAGAAGCTATCCAAGTGTCCATCTCACTTGGGAGCACATTGGGGCCACTCAGAATTGAACATTTTTAGCCATGAATTTCTGATTTAACACATCCTCTCCAAACAAAATATAGGACATACAGAAGTTTCTGAACTTTTTCTCTTTTTATGACTCAATTCTGATCTTTACTCATTGGATATGACAAAGATATTGCATGCCAAGCCGTGAGCTGTCTACCATGCTTTAAACAATAACAAAAATGTAATAAATTATTTCACAATGAAATTTTATGTAACACTGTGCTGTTCCTATATGATAGCCAAATATTCAATATTCATTGTTGTTTTTAGAAAGACAAATTCGGCCAGCAGTGGTGGCACAAGGTTTTGATCCTAGCACTCGGGAGGCAGAGGCAGGACTCTACATGTTCAAGGTCAGCCTGGTAAACAGAGTGAATTCCAGGATAGCCAGAGATACACAGTGAAGCCGTCTTGAAGAAGAAAAGACAAATGCCGTTGCCAAAAAGGGATTTCTGAAATAGAAATTATGACCTATAGACTTTCTCTATCTATACTCATAAACATACTACGCCACATAATTTACTTTTTATAGAACCCCACGGAGAATTTCCGCAGACTTCTTCTCTATTGGCACTCCTTTGTGTCTCAGCACTCCCTGCCTTTAACCCTACTTGTAAGATGGAAATTCATAAAACTTAAAAATATATTGAAAGCGGGCTGGAGAGATGGCTCAGAGGTTAAGAGCGCTGGCTACTCTTCCAAATGTCCTAAACCCAATCCAAAGCAACCACATGGTGGCTCACAACCATTTATGATGAGATCTGGTGCCCTCTTCTGGCCTGCAGGCACACATGCAGGCAGAGCACTGTATACATAAAAATCTTTATATATACACTGAAAGCATATTTTTTCAGTCTGCACTCTGTAATCCAGCATGTATCATAAATATTTACCTATGTTGCCATATATTCCTTGACACAGTTTTGAGTTTCATGCAGTATTATATCATAAAATGTATCCTGATGTCTTCAACCGTGTTCCTAGTCTCACATACTTATGGTGTGGTGTAAGTGTCCTCCAAAGGTCCAAGTGAGTGTAGGCTGGGAAGACAGAGGGTGGACATAGCAGACATCCTGAGGGGTTCTAGCACAGCATGGTTGTGGTTCTCCTTCAGCCTCAGTCATTCCTGTGAGAGCAGCGTTATAAAAGAGCAACAATGGCCCTCCCTCTTCTTCTTCACTTCCTTACTCAACATGTGACTCTTTTTATGTATGATAAGCTCTTTTTTATTTAACTTTATTTTTTATATTTTGTTCACTTTACAGTGTGATCGTAGCCCCCTCCCTCATCTCCTCCCAGTTCCTGCCCCCCATTCTTCTTTCCCCTTATCTCCTTCCCCTAGTCCTCTGAAAGGGGGATCCCTCCTCCCCTACCATCTGACCTAGCCTATCAAGTCTCATCAGGACTGCCTGCATCGTCTTCCTCTGTGGCCTGGCAAGCCCCGACCACCTCACCACCAGGGGAAGGTGATCAAAGAGCAGGCAACAGAGTCCATGTCAGAGACAAGCCCTGCTCTCCTCACTTGGGGACCCACATGAAGACTGAGCTGCCATGGGCTAAGATATGAGTCCTTGTTCCCAAGACATGCTCCATCTCACCATCTGCCATCAGCCAGAGCCAACTCAGGTTCCATGCCCTTGAACTTCCAAAACTAAAAGATTAATAAGCTGTTTTATTATAGGATAAATAAACTTCAGTAGCATGTGTGGAGCAATTCCTTATAGTAACGAGGCCATAGGGGAAGACAGCAGCTTTGGCCTCTGTGCACACACACACACACACACACACACAGACACTGCAGTCTAGACAGGGTTTTCACACAAGCGTGCTAATTCACTATGAAGGAACCAACAATTCCTATTTTGTAAATATTCTTTCTAATCATTGATCAGAAAACAAGTGTCTTTTAACTCTGTAGGGCTATTCCTAGGAGAGATGACAGCAGTTTAAGTGTGATACACGTTTCTAAGCTTAGAGAGGAGTCGGGCATCCGAAGGCTGAGTGCGTAAGAATGTCTCAAGAGAGCAAGACAGAAAAGAAAGAATGCTTTCACTCTTTTTCTCACAGTTTTTTTTTTCCTTTTTGTGTGTGTTTACATGTGTGCGTGAGATTTTATTGGAAACATAATATCAACCAAAACAAAATACAGGTCACTACGCAGAATCCGAGTGTTAGGAAAGCCAACAGTCAGCCACTGTCTGTGTGAGCAGGCTGAGCAACACTGATGGAATTAAACCCAGCCAGGCGTGGTAAGACACACCTTTAATCTCAGCACTCGAGAGGCAAAGGCAGGCAGGTCTCTGTGAGTTCAGGTCAGTCTGGTCTACAGAGTGAGTTATAGCATGGCTACACTGAGAAACCCTATCTTGGAAAAAGAGAAAGAAAGAGAGAGGGAGGAAGGAAGGAGGGAGGGAAGGAGAGAAGGAGGGGAAAAGGGAAGGAAGGAATTCATTAGGCAAGCGTAAGAACCCAAGTTCAGTTTCCAGAGCCCAAGTGAAAAAGCTGGGCTTGTAATCTTGGCCTCTGAGAGGCAGAAACAGGCTCCCTGGGACTCAGTGGCTAGTCAGACTAGCTGAACCAGAAAGTTCCAGATCAGTGACGAGATCCTGTCTCAAAAACAGAAGCTGAAAACAGAGGCAGGCTCTGTCCAAAGCCAGACTGACCGTCACAGAGAGTTCCAGGACAAGCAAATAAACAAAAGAATAAATCCAACTTGTGGAAGGATTTCAAAAGGAAGGGAAAAAGAAAGGAAGGAAGGAAGAAGGGGGAGAAAGAAAAGAAAAAGAAAAAAAATAAACATAGCTTGTCCTTGTTAGCAATTAATTAAACCTAGCAAGTCCGGGCTTGCAATACCAGCTACTAAGGAGCCTGAGGAAGAAGGGTCAAAAGTTCATGGTCTTCTGAGTCTACACAGAGTGTTCAAAACCAGCCTGGGCAACTTAGTGAGACCCTTTTATAATTAACTGTATAATTAATATAATCTAACAAAAATATTTTTAAGTCGGGCACAGTGGCACATGCCTGAATCGCCAGCAGAGGCACAGGCAGGTGAGTCTCTCTGAGTCTGAGGACAGCCCAATCAACAAAGCAAGTCCAGGACAGTATCTAAGTGGCTTTGGGCTGGGGAGAGAGATACGTCACTTAATATTTCAGGTCTGTCCATTTTCTTGCAAACATTGCAATTTCTTTTTTCTTTGGAGCTAAATTAAATTTTATGTGTATATATCACGTTTTCCTTACTTATTCACTTATTAGTAACATCTAGGTTTGTAGCTATTGTGAAGAGCATAGTTGTTTGTATAATTTCTAAGATCTAAGCTTCTGGAACAAAACTTATATTTATCTTCTCTTGATAAGGACAAATTTGATTTTTTTTTAATTTTTGACATAATTTTTTGCCAACGTAATACAAACCATTTATTTCTTTTTTTTTTTTTTAACTTTTACTTAGGTTTACTTCATGTGCATTGGTGTTTTGCCTGCATGTAAGCCTGTATGAGGATGTTGGATGCTCTGGAACTGGAGTTATAGAGAATTATAACCTGCCATGTAGGTGCTGGGAATTGAACCCAGGTCCTCTGGAAGAGCAACCAGTGCTCTTAACAGCTGAGCCATCTCTCCAGCCCCAAAGCCATTTATTCTATATAAACTTGGTGGGGAAATATTCTGGTAGCACAGAGGCGTGGGATTCCAGGAGGTTATAAAGCCAGGTGTTGCAGCGTATCCCACAACTCGGAGATAGGAGACTCACAAATTCAAGGCCATCACTGGTTATATAGGTAAATTCAAGGTCAGCCTTGGTAGAGGCTGTCTGTCCCAAACAAAGCAAGATAACATTTAACCACCGAAGACATTTAAGCCACGTATGATCTAGAAGTAAGCTTCAAAAAAATCACTAATTTCTTCCAGGGAAGAGAAGGAAACATTTCGAAGGTCTATTCTTAAAGCTGTTATCCGCTGCTGACTTACGAGTTCTCCAAGGTGCTTCGCCAGCTCACCCTGTCCTCTGCTGAGCTCTGTGCTCACACAAATTTCCCCTGTGCATTCAGTGAGATGGCACATCATAAGTAATTGGGAAACAAGACACACCGTAGCCGCAGTCGAGACTCTAAATACACTTTTTCAGAGATAAGTCTGTGTACTCCTTAGTAAGATGTAGGGAAAAAATGGACAAAGGAACTGAAATGGCGCTCATTAATGGTAAGGGCTGTGTCATAAACAACCACCTTCTCCTTGGGATGACGGGTTATGCTGTCCTAAGATCACCTCTCATAACTATGACAGGAGAAACTGTGAAGCTAGACCTTATTTTTAAATGTAAAAGGAACCCGAGCCAGGTCTGATCTCAGAGTCAGTTAAGGAGTGCTGTATGTAATACAGATGCAGGTTTCTCAGTGTTTTCAACAATAGTCCTCACCTCTTAGAATAAAAGTTTAGAATAATAAATACTGTAGTTAGCTGTGTGGTATAAATACCCACATTTATATATAGCTTATCCATGTTTGAACCATCACAAATGCAGATAGGTAACTATATAAAGAAATGACAAAAACATGTAATTTCCCGCTGCATTGAGGACAGAGACACTGCGTTAAAGGATTGGCCGTTACTCACACGACATTCTTCCCGGCGAGGATCTGCTCCAAAGTGACTGAAAACACCAGACATAGAAACAGAAGGGAGAAGCTAAACAAGAGTTTTCTTCCCATCCAGAAATGTTCGTTTCTTCCAACCAAGCACATCTGTTAATTCAGAGAGCAAACAGAGCAGGGGCTGAACTCTTCTTGCCAAGTGACTGACAGCACCTCCAACCAATAAAAAGACAGCTTTTCCAGGCTGCACTACGGAGGGGCGGGAGGAGGAGAGAGGGCAAGAGCATCTGGAGCACAGAGTTAACCCAGGATTTAGCCTTTCACTTGTTCACTGCATTTAAAAACCTGTAGGCGGCAGCTTTTCGAGAAAACACATTGCTATAAGCCCTTTGTGGGAAGTCGCTGTTCTGTGTGACTGCACATCTCTTCACAGGGTTCTCAGAGAAGGCTTGCCCTCTCTCTCAAATCTACTCATTACACATTTTTCCAGACATTTTTAAGTGAATTATTCGGTTAAAAAAAAGAAGAATCTCTGGAGCTTACCTATATTTCCACATGTCCTAAGTCACAGTTGTCACATGTGCCGAGGAGACTTGAGAGGGTGTTGACAGCCTCTGGCTTTGGAGTCAGGAGTCGGGCGTGAAGGTGCACCCGGTAGGATGTGAGAGCTTCTACTGTAACAGCCGGGCAAGCTCTCCCTTCTGTGCTGCCTTCCTGCAGAACAGGGACAGGGTGCTAAAGAATTGCCCAGAGGAGAAGAGGGGAAACATGAGCACAGGACAATGACCATGTGCCCAAAGATGCCAGAACAAACCAGGATTTTCTATGCGGTTATATGTAGATAAAAGGATAGACAAACGCCTCTTGCCTCGGGCAAAGCTGACTGTATTGCTCCCCTGCAAAGTCTACAAAGCAAAATCCAGGAGAGTTTTGCATAAGCACAAATAATAAATTCCATAACGCTGAAAGCCTTCCAGAAGGAAGCACGGCGTGTTTGGTGCTGCAGGACCTTGATACTTCTAGTGGAAAAGTGTTGGTTGTAGAAAAGGGCTACCTTCAATATTTTTAGACATTATCTTACGTGTTGTGAGTGTTTCGTCTGCATGTGTCTGCGCGCTGCATGTGTGCAGTGCCCCCAGGGGACAGGAGAGGGCCTTGCAGTCTCTGAAACGAGTTACAGCTGGTTTGGAGCTCCCGGTTCAGAACTCAACCTGGTCCTCTGCAGAGCAGCCAGTGCTGTTAACCACTGAGCCACCTCTCCAGCCTAAGAAGGGCTGTTTCTAAGTGAAATTTCAGAGAGGCCATTGATTTTAGGGAAGCGGGGGACTTATTTGATGACATTGTCTTCCTCTCACATGGCAGGAGGCACTACCTCAGAAACAACAAACAGAAAATAAAGCATACCGGTGAAGGTGGGAAAATACAGAAATGAAAGGGAAGGCTTGTGACAATAAACTCAGTGATAATAATAAGTGTTTAATAATAAACATCAGTTTTCCTGCACTTGGGAGCTGGAAGCGGGAAGACACCAAGTTCAACTTCATCCTTAGCTACACAGTCAGTTCAAAGTCAACTGGGCATGGGAGATGCTGTTTCAGTAGTAGAAGCAGCAGTAGTAATTTTAATACAGATTAGTTCTATTTTTCTCTCTCTTTTTTTTTTTTTTTTTTTTTTTTTTTTTTTTTTTTTTTTTTTTTTTTGTTTTTTTTTTTTTTTTTTTTTTTTTTTTTTTTTTTTTTTTTTTTTTTTGGTTTTTCAAGACAGGGTTTCTCTATGTAGTCTTGGCTGTCCTGTACTCACTTGTAGACCAGGCTGACCTCAAACTCTCAGAGTGCTGGGATTACAGGCAATGGCACCATGTCCGGCTTCTGCCTTCTTCTCTTTCACTTCCCCACTTCCGCTCTGCATTTCTGCCTTTATCTGCTTGGTCTTTTCTTGATTCTGTGAAATTGCAAATAGTAAAGCAAGTTTGGAGAGAAGGAATTTAGTCTTCTGTAGGGTGGACAGATAAGCCATATGTCTTAGTTTGGGTTTTTACTGCTGTGAAGATGGGGGGCACGTGGACTGTGTCACCAGGCAAACCTGCATGGAGCTAGGACGAGGTAGAGACGTGTCCAAACCCTGGAAAGCTCTACCTTGAGACTGGCAGGAGTAAGGATAGCTCCCTCCTATTTTCTGTGCTGGCATTGCCTGGAACACTAGTCTCGATCCCCTGTCTCCACAATTCCTGGAGTAGTCACATAGCCTGGCACCTGGAATCCTCTCCATGTAAATAAAACGCCACCAGCACCCCAGCCACAAACAGTGATTTGAGCCCACCCTTCCCTCTCCCCCCGGGTTCAGAGAGCCCTTGTTCACCCCGTAAAAAGGGGCACAAGCTATTCCACTGAATATCGACTGGGAATTGTTCTATTACTGGGAAGGCTCTGAGCTAAAAGGCTGTAACATTTGAAGACCTGCTTCAGAGAGGGCTTTTTTTTCCTGGGGCGTTTGCCACCACAGTACCCTCAGACAAGCCTGCCCGACTTGGCTTTGTTCCTTGGTCTCTGGTGCCTGGACGCTCTGAGAGAAAGAAGCAGGCCTGCTGTATCACCCAAGAGAGCTGTAACACTGAAAACCTCAGAAAAGGACTCCACCTCCACCCCCTTCTGTGGACTCACTCAGCTACCAGCTCAGCTCCATCCTGCCCAGTCCGGCAGGCAGAGGTGCCTGGATGCCCTGGGGGGAGGAAGCTGATCTTGGAACCACATGAAGAGACACCATGACCAAGGCAACTCTTACAAAGGGCAACATTTAATTGGGCTGGCTGACAGAGGTGTAGTCCGTTATCATCATGGCGGGAAGCATGGCAGCTTGCAGGCAGACGTGGTCCTGGAGAAGCTGAGAGTTTTACGTCTTGATCCGCCGGCAACAGAAGGAGACTGTGTGCCACACTGGGTGTAGCCTGAGCATAGGAGACCTCAAATTCCACCCCTGCAGTGACATACTTCCTCCAACAAGGCCATATGTCCTAACAGTGCCACTCCCTATGGGCCAAGCTTTCACACACATGAGCCTATAGGGGCCATTCCTATTCAAAGCCCCACAGTAGACAATATTCAGTTAAACTGCAATACAAGAAAAACAAGTAATTTTAATATGTGTGTCCCACGCAATATTTAAAACATAGTTGACCGGGCTGGGGAGAGGGACCAGTTGGTAAAGGGCTTGCTGTGCAAGCGTGAAGACCCGAGCTAGATTTTGAGAGCCTGTGTATAAAATTGGGCACAGGGGCTGACCCTGCAGTCTCCGCGCTGCGGAGGTCTGTGGACTCCTCAGGCTTGCTGGCCAGCCTAGCCTACCCTGCAAGTCCCAGGCCAGTGAGAAACCCCATCTCCAAAATCAAGGTGAATATCACCCTGAGGAATAGGAGCTGGTCTTTAGCCTACACACACACACACACACACCATTTAAAGAGATTGTGTGTGTAAAAATCTTGATTTTTTTCAGAAAACTAAATTTAATTGAGTAGCTGACGTTTTAAATCTGGCAAGCCTGGCCCTAGGAAGTTCTCTGCTACTTTACTCGCTCATGTTTGTACAGGTCCTGGGATTCTGCTGCGATCTGAGTTCTGACTCTGGAGGTCTGGATGGAGCAAGGAGACGCTTCTACACATGGCGCAGAGCTGCTGGCTCAAGGACTGCCCTTCAAGCAGCGGAACGCTAGAACCATCATTGTTACGTGAGAGCGATGTAACTTAGACTCTCTGGTAGTCACGTTAAAGCCGTAAAACGCAACATCAAATTAATGTTAGATGATAATTAACGTCTCTAAAATACTACCATTTCTATTTTAAGATTTCTTAAGGAGACGCCTGACATTCTTTGTCGCCCAGGCTCAGTTCAGACTTGTCAGATTCCAGGTGTTGAGTGGCCGCCCTTGTCACATAGCCACATGCTGGAGACATGCAGCATCTCCAGCAGCCAGGGCAGCCCCTTGAAGTGTTCTGTGTATTCAGTGACACTGTCTGTTACTTGGACCCAAGGGGAAGGCAGTGTTATCTGAAGACTGTTCCCCATTGTGATGGTACTGGAGCTGTGAATGCAGACACTCTGTAGTGCTGTGACAGTCATCCATGTCAGCTTTAGATTAAGTACTATATGTCTTCATGATCCTAACATTTTACCATGTCACTCTTCTTGTTGCGGGAATATCCTCCTACTTGGTTAAGAATATTAAAAGCAGAATAATTAATACCTAGTAGTTTTCACAAATTTTAGAATAGAAGTCACACTTATAATGCGATTGTCTGAAAATAGCTCATCTTGTGACTTTGCAGGAGAAAAGCAGTAGAAAAATGTTAATTAGATATCTTGCAGTCCTAACACACTCGGGAATGGCCTTGCCTCTCAGATAGTTTGGGAGTCTTCGTCAACAACACATAAAGTCTGAGATTTTACCCACTTGCAGCCGACAAATTAGTCTTCCCGTTTCAGATATGGTGGCAGACAACACGAGGCTGCTGGGCGAAAGACAAATACTCTATGACTAACCATCCAGCAGCTCCATGAACATCCCTGTACCTGTGCCAGTGTCCTAGCTGAATAGACTTGGGAGCTAGGAGCCACTCAGAGGAGGTGGGTCACTGGGATATATTACCAAAGCATGTGTTCCAGCTCAGACTCTTGCTGTCACTCCTCACTCTCTCAACCATCATCATGCTCTCTCACTCTCCCTCATCCACACTGCTGTGAGGGGATCAGTCTCTGCCGCCATTTGTTCTACTGCTACGGCGGTCTGGTCATCAGAGGCCTACTATGGCGGAGCTGGTCACTATGCCCTCTGAGACCATGAGCTGAAAAAGACACCTGTGCTGCCTCTTGCACTTGGGTGTTGTCACGGTGATGAGACCCTGCTCCTCCAGGAGGTTTAGGAAAGCTTCCCGCTCTTGATTCTGAAGGGAAAACACCTCTATTTCCAACGTTATAACAAACCTGCCATTGTCTTCAAAAGGAGATGCACTTCTATGTTTCAACGCTATTCACTGTAAAAACAGAAAATTCCGGAACAAAGAAAAAGCAAGTGGCTGGCAACACATACAGAAAACATACAAACATAGCAAAATTTTCCCTCTACAGTCTCCAGGAGGAATAGGAAATTGTATGCCTGGG